ACGGAGTAGTATACAACCTCGGGCTGTGCCCATCTTGAATAACAGAAAGGGATGTTGAGATAAAGTAACCTGTGGAAAAAAAGATCTACCAACGGACCACGGGATCCTGCACGTGTGGGATCCAGGATGACCGTCGGTAGCCTGAGGAAAGCTGGAGACGTTCTCCGCGATCCATGAGAGCCCAGGAGGTCTGAGAAGTCAGGCCTCTCGACGTTCCAGGTGGGAGGCAACTGAAGATATGAAAGAAAGAAAAGGTGACAGAACTAAGATAAACTTCAGATAGAGAAAAATACGTATCTCAAAGGGACAGAAATATAACGGACAGGAAAGGCAAAGTATAGGGAAAACCATTAGAAATAGTCAAGAACTAGTGTGACCTAGATTCAAACCACCTAGATGTAAAAGACATAGGACTAGCAGGTAAGGGAGTAGTAGTTAAATGCCAATGAAATCCTGTCTTCTGACGAGGGTGTCCGAGCACTGGACACTGTACATGTTTCCTCGCACCCAGGAGATGTGCCTTTGCTGGGCTGGTGAAACCGTGGCTGTCCGCTCAGGGCGTTTAGCAGGGCCTTGCCCCTCAGGGCACAAGGTTCAGGGCCCTCACACTTCCCATAAGACCTAGGTGTTTGTGTCTGGTCTTGTCTGGTGAGTCAGAGCCTGACTCTACTTGTGCGCCCGGAGTCCCTCCATGCCTCTTTATTGAGGTAGTAGTGGGAGGCTTGTGACATAGCTTTTCCAACAAAGGTGGCATCAGCCGCATATATCATAGTCTCTAGGTTCTCCAGGGTCGGGTGTCCATAGCGGATGGTGTCTTAACTGTAGGGGTAATAATGACTGGTGCCACCCCATGTAGTGTGGTAGCTCTGCTACAGGGACATACACACCTCAGTGTCCATAGTGAGTAGGGGCGGGGCTCCCCCGTAATATTCCCCCAGGCCTGCGGCCAGAGGGGGCTTGGGTCCAAGTAGAAACCTGCCTTTCGAAGGGGCACAGATCGAGTAGGCCAATCGAATGGGCACAGACAAAGCAGGCCAATCAAGGGGGCACAGACAGAGAAGGCCAATCAAAGGGGCACAGACGGAGCAGGCCAATCAAAGGGGCACAGACCGAGCAGGCCTATCACAGTTGGTGTATAAGTCGGTAGTAAGGGACCCCTGTGTTTGGGCATAGTCCCATAAATTTCCGTAAATCCTCAGTAGAACGTGTGACACAAGACCCCAAGACACCAACTCTTTTAGACAGCGTAACACTGCATGCCCAAACCTTAAAGGACCATTATAGGCACCCAGACCACTTCAGCTTAATGAAGTGGTCTGGGTGCCTGGTCCAGCTAGGGTTAACCCTTTTTTCTATAAACATAGCAGTTTCAGAGAAACTGCTATGTTTATATTAGGGTTAATCCAGCCTCTAGTGGCTGTCTTATTGACAGCCACTAGAGGGCTTCCGCGTTTCTCACTGTGATTTTCACAGTGAGAAGACGCCAGCATCCATAGGAAAGCATTGTGAATGCTTTCCTATGGACTGGCTGAATGCGCGCATGGCTCCTGCCGCGCATGTGCATTCAGCCGAAGAGGGAAGGGTAGTGCACAAATGGATATTGTATGAATGGATGCCAGAGGTGACAACTTAAGGTATCTCTTATATTGAACTTGGGAATTACAACTTACCAAACTCTACTAGAATAACATAGACCCTCTATCTAATTGGCGAACCGACTCTGCAAACGCTGTGCTGCAGAGCCTGCTTTCCAGAGGGCAAAAAATCCTCTCAATCTGACCTCCGCGCACGGAGGAGGGGCCGCGTGTAAGCGCACCCTCCTCTACCCGGTCGGTCACACGTGGCTCGCTGACAGGAGCCGGCCGCGGCGAGGCGGACGGGTCCGCTGCCGGGTACTCGTGTCTGACCGCGAGTACCCCAGCTACCAAGGAATCCACATCGACGCTCTGGGATCTCAGAGGAGGCAGCTGAACGGCTAGCCGCCTGAAACCCCGAGCGAAGCACACATAGCCCGCGAGTGTGGAAAGCTGGAAAAAAAAGCAGAAGGGGAAATCCCAGGAGGAAGCAAGACAGATTTAGATGGAGGGATAGACTGGGTGGGTGGGGGAGGGGAAATCCCAGCAATACAGAAAGAACTCCCAAAGACTCCCCATAAAATCCACCACAATACCTAACTAAATAACCCCAAAGGAAAACAGGGGAAGCATAAAATGTATATACCGTATTTATCGGCGTATAACACGCACTTTTTCTCCCTGAAAATAGGGGGCAAATTATGGGTGCGTGTTATACGCCGGCCCTTTAAATGCTGCAGCCGCCTGAGCGCTCTGTCAAGAGCGGTCAGGCGGCTGCAGTTGGTTCTCACCTCTCCTGTAGCGTGGCCGAGCTGCTCTGCTGTTCGCGGTGCCGGCCGGAGTGATAGGAAGGTGCACGCAGGAGTTTCTGTTTCCTGTACCCGGTCGGACTGACAGGAAGGTGCACACTGAGCGTGCACCTTCCTATCACTCCGGCCGGCCACCGCGGACAGCAGAGCAGCTCGGCCACGCTACAGGAGGCAAAGAGAGTGGGAGAGTAAGAAAGAAGAGGGGGAGTAAGAAGAGGGGGAGGGGGGGAGAAAGAAGGGGGTAAGAAGAGGAGGGAGGGGGGGGAGGGGGAGGAAGAAAGGGGTAAAAGAGGGGAGGGGGGAGCAAGTAGGGTAAGAGGGGAGTAAGAAGAGAGGGAGGGGGGAGTAAGAAGGCATAAGAAGAGGTGGAGGGGGGAGTAAGAAGGGGCAGAAGAGGGGAGGGGGGAGGCGAAGGAAAAGGAGGGGAGGGGAAGTAAGAAGAGGGGAGTAAGAAAGGGGTAAGAAGAGGGGAAGGGGAGTAAGAAGGGGGTAAGAAGTTCTTTATTTGAAATTTAAGGTTTTTTTTCCTGAAATTTCCTTCTTAAAATGAGGTGCATGTTATACGCCGGTGCGTGTTATACGCCGATAAATACGGTATTTTACCTCTAGAGAATTTCTATTGATTTATTTTTCCATCATTGCACCTAAAGATCTTACTGAATATATATATTACAGAAGACCTCTGCACATTGTTAAAAAGAGCTATCTTCAGCATTTTGAGATGTGGGAGTAGTGGTCAGCCAAGAAGATCAGCTTGGCTGCAGCATTCATTGAAACTGAAGAGGAGTAATGCGGGTTTTTGGAAGGCTCATGAGAAATAAGTTGCAAAAGTCAAGTAGGGAAATGATAAGTGCATGAACAAGAGGGTTAAGTTGTATCTTGAGTTGGAAAGGGTTATATGTGGGCAATATTTTTAACGTGGAAGTTCCAGGATATGGAGACAAACTGGATGTTTGGAAAAAAGGTAAGACCTCAAAAGAAACACCAAGGCAGCAAGCTTGATAGGGTTGGGGTAATAGGCATCCCTTTGACTTGCAGCGAGATTGAAGGAGGACTATCTGAGGGGGAGAAGTTGAGAAGTTTAGTTTTAGAAAGATTACGTTTTAGAAAATGGGAAGAAATCCAGTTAGAGATGGATGCGTTACAGGAGAGCAGGAGAGAAGACAGGAGACCAGAGGTAAATCTGTGTATCATCAGTTTATAGATGGTACTGATATCCAAAGGAGTTTATAAGGTTTCAGAGAGAGGCTGTGTAAATGGAGAGTAAAAGACGACCAAGAACAGAGCTCTGGGGAACGCCAACTGAGACAGGCAGCGGGGAGGAAGTGGCACCAGAAAAAGAGACACTAAGATATCCAGAACATCAAACACACCTGTGTTGGAACAGCAGAAAGTATGTGGTCAATATTACGGACATCATAGGAAGTTTGTCCAAAGCATTCCTGAAAATTACATCAGTCCATTCTTAAACTTGATTTCTACTTTTTAGAATAGCATGCATAGTCTCTGATATGTTGAACATTATTTGCGTGGTCTTATAGTTTGCAGTCTGGCAGCATGTAAAGAAAACAATCCAATTCTTGCACTGTAGACAGACGAGCATGCAAAGGTACACTTAAAACTATTTTGTGGCTGATGGCATTAATCTGAACCTATCCTTTAAGAGCAGCAGACAGACACGGTGATAGGACAGATGGTAATATGCCTTTCTTTGCCATGTGTTTAGAAAAGATATCGGGACAACATTCCATGAACAACAGAATTATTGTAGCTTGGGACAAAATAATTATTGTAGCTTGGGTAAGAAAGTCAAGAAACATTAACATCACAAAACAATGCAAGGCCCAAACACACAAACAAACAATACACATACAAACAAAACTCTTTCCCTGTCATTTCATTTATAACCCAAAAAATGGTGTGTGTGTGTGTGTGTGTGTGTGTGTGTGTGTGTGTGTGTATGTGTACGTGTGTGTTTGTATTTCTCTAATACAGAAAGGGAATTCTAGCTAACTGAACTCATTCCACAAGTTTGAAGTTCCTAACATTAAATAAATACTGACAGATGAGGTTACAGATTTGTAAAGATAATTAGGCTTGTATTTGGGGGCGTATTTGTTCCTTTTAATGCTGAGTTATACAGTAAGGTGTCAATCCTTGAGCATCCCTGAACTTAGACAATACATCACTATGCACATTTATCACAGTTTCCAAAATGCAGCTATATGTTGCTTTCCAACCATCTGTTTCTCTGTACTGTAGATCTACTCGGCTGTTTTTTGCTATGTTGCTTTGTCACTGTGTGATGCATAATCACGTCTCCCCCTGCTTTAGTCTCAAACCATCACACAAAGTATGGAACACTGTCTGTAATATTCCAGCTTAACGGCTGCTGTGGCCTTATGTCGAATGTCCAACAAGACATTCATATCTAACCGTATCAACAGATGAACTAGAGAGACATTATTCTTTTCTCAAACATGCTATCTTATGCGTCACACCTAGTTATTAAACATCATTTACCTCTGGGTAACAGCTGTGCTGATAGAATAAGTAAACCCCCTCCCAGTACCGAGCCTGTATAAATAATCCCTGGGTTGGTGACAAGTAGAGACCAGCTTTACTTGGACAAGGATGGGTAAGACATTTCTCTTCAAATATAATCGAATACAATACAAAACCAATTTCTCTAAAGTCTACCCCAGTGCTGGGATGGTAGGATATTTTTCAAATTTCACCTTCTTTAAGGGTCAGATACATAGACATATAGAGTCCAACTGAATGCAACAGATAGATAAGATAATGCTTGCTAGATACTGTATCCATAAGGGGCCATGTGACCATGTCATCTTTTTCAAGAAACATGTATAGATAGTATATATCAGAGATCTGCAGAAAATTCTACATGTTATCATTTTACAAGAATTCTTCAAGGGGAGCTGTGCAGGGCCGTCTTTAATAACGAATGGACCCTGGGCAAATGTTTGCTTGGGCCCCCTGTGCCCTGCCGCTCTCGCCCCTCACTCCCTGGTATGCAATCACGGCATCCATCCCAATGCAGTGGCGGTACTAAAGTAGAATGAATTTTATTGGGACCCCGAATTGCAAGGTTGGACTAAAGGTAGAACACCATCTGTCGTGCAACTCCAACATGGCTTTGACAGCTGGGACTCTACCAATTTCCCATGCTTGCAGAGTTGTATTTAGCACTGAGTCATGTTAGTATGTTTGAATGTAAGCATGTGTTTGTATGGAGTATGTTTGTGTGAATGTGTTTGTATGTGGTACTGGAGTTTGAATGCAAGTGTGCATTTATGTGTAGTGTTTGTTTTTGAATGTAGGAGTGTGCTTGTATGTAGTGTTGACGTTTCAATGCAGGAGTGTGTTTTATATGTAGTGTTGAAGTTTGAATGGAGGGGTGTATTTGTATTTAAAGTTGCGGCTCAGATGCACAGGTACACACTCTGACGCACAAGCAGATACACAGATACATACACTGACTACATACAGATAAACAGGCACATACACTGACAGACACACTGACACAGGTACATATATTGACACACACACAGACACATACACTGGTAGACGTACTGACAGACATACTGACACAGGCACATATACAGACATACTGACACACAGACACATATACCAACATACTGACACACACACACAGACACATACACTGATCAACATACTGACACACATACACTGACAGAAATACTGACACCCACACACTGACAGATATACTGCCACCCACATACACTGAGAAATACTGACACACACACACAGGCACATACACTGACACACACAGACTGATATACTGACAAACACACACAGAGACATACTGGCACACAGACAGATATACTGACACATGCATACACATGCACTAACAGACATACTGACGCACTGACAGACATACTGACACACACAGATATACACACACATATATATACTGACACACAGACAGACAGACATACTGACACACACACACACACACAGACATACTGACACACACACACATACACATAACACACACATACACTAACACACAGATACACTAACACACACATACACTAACACACAAACACACACACTAACACCATACACTAACACACATACACACTAACACACATACACAAACACACACACTAACACACATACACTAACACACAGAACACACACACACACACATAAACACACACATACATACACTACACACATACACACCAAACACATACACTAACACACACAACACACATACACTAACACACACAAACACACACATACATACACTAACACACACACATACACTAACACACAAACACTAACACACACACACACACACACACAAAACAAACACACACATACACACACACACACACACACACACACACACACTCACACACAAACACACACACACTAACACACACATACACAAACACACACACAAAGAAAACTGGGCCCGGGGCAGCTGCCCCGTTTGCCCCGCGTTAAAGACGGCCCTGGAGCTGTGACATCCAATGAATTTCTAGTATTTTGATAACGTATCTCTATATTTAACAAATATGTATTTGTGATGTATGAAAAATAATATTAATGTAGAAATCCACACCACTTTATCCTGCAGCTGGGTGCCTCCATCTTAGCTCCCTGTCAGTGAATGCTATAAGCTATGTCTGTGCACCTGGCAGTCAGCATAGAGAAATCATACAGAGATCAGGATATAAACACTATACCATTAGAAATTCAAGCATATCTTCCTAATGCTATAGTTTTTTAAACTACCTATTTAAGTGCCCACTCCCCCATTGTGTGTGCTTTTTAAAGTAGAGATTTACTTAAATTGTAACCCTTGCATGCTGCTCTTCGTCCTGCCGCTTCGCCTCTTTGGCGGAGATCATCAGCGTTGATGATCTCATCCAGTTCAATGTTTCCCATAGGGAAACAGAGGGAGCCTAGTGTGCATGCGCAACAAAACACCACTCTGCGCTAATCAAATGGGGCCAATTGATTGAATAGCTGAGTTAAGCTCAGCTTTTGGAGTGTAAGCGCCTCTAGTGGTTTCACCAAGAGAGTCACTAAAGGTAGGTTATACCTGCAATAAAGATATTGCCATATCTATCATCGACTAAATGGCAATGTTTTACATTGCAGAGTTAAAAAGACTAGATGGGCTGAATGGTTCTTATCTGCCGTCACATTTTATGTTTCTAAAAAGACATTATGTCAATGTAATGTCAATATAGAGTCCTTTTAAACAATGGCTTTGCCTTATTTAAACTGTATATTTAATAATATTACTATATTATGGAAATGCGGTTAGCACATAGATTTTTTTTTTTTTATTATTATTGTTTTATTCAACAGTGCGAATGTTGTAAAAGTAATAGTTTTCCTTTAACTGCACAGGCTGAATGATAAAAAAAAAAAAAAGCTGCTACATAGTCAGCTAATTTGTGTCTCATGGTTATGGAAGCTGTGTTGTTGCGACGTAAGCTTGAAGGCACTAGGTTTCCCAACCAGTGGCGTACACACGACCCATGGGGCCCTGGTGCTAAAATTGATCCGTTGCCCCCCCGCGCTTACTCTGTATGGGCCGTGGTCGCAACACATGGCGGCGGGACCACTATAGACACCCAGATTCAGCTCAATTAAGTGGTCTGGGTGCCAGGTCCCTCTAGTTTTAACCCTGCAGCTGAAAACATAGCAGTTTCAAAGAAACTGCTATGTTTCACTAAGGGTTAATCCAGCCTCTACTGGCTGTCTCACTGACAGCCACTAGAGGCGCTTCCACAATTCTCAGTGTGAAAATCACAGTGAGAAGACGCTGGATGTCCATAGGAAAGCATTGAGAAATACTTTCCTATGGGCGGTTTGAATGCGCGTGCGGCTCTTGTCGCGCATGCACATTTGGAGCTGAGAGGCGGATCGGGGCGGAGGGATCCCCAGCGACGGACTCCCTTGGTAAGGTAAGGTAAGTGCTGAAGGGGTTTTAAACGCACACACTCTAACGAAAAGACGCATACACACTAGCTAGCAGACACACACATTTACTGACAGAGACACACTCAGTGACAGACAGACATACACACTCACTGACAGACAGACACACATACACACTCTCTTACAAAACATACACTCTCACTGACAAACACACTCTCACTAACAGACACCAGACTCACTAACAGACACACACAAACTAATACACTCAGTAACAGACACACAGTAACACACTCAATAACACACACACTGACACTCACTAGCAGACACACACTGAATAACAGACACACACAACTAACACACACAGTAACACACACACTAAAACTAACACACTCACTGACACTCACTAGCAGACACACACACACAGTAACACACACACTGACACACAAAAACTAACACTAACACACATACACACACACGTTTTTTAAAATTGCATCCCCCAGCCTCCCTATCTTTTGGAATGCTGAGGGGATTCCCTGGGGTACAGTGGTGCTGCCTGACAGACGGTCACTGCAGGCAGCAAGGGAGCACTGGTCCTCCTGTTCAGTTCCCTTGCGTGACGCTTACTGATGCCGGAATGACTTCATATTCCGGTTCCGGCATCAGTGCGGTGTGTGTGAGGGAGCTGGGCAGAGAGCGCTCAGGGGAAAATGCTCCCTTGCACGCCCGCCAGCCCAGTGACACCACTGCCGGCCTCCCAAGAGAAGAGGCTGACATACGGGGTCACAAGGCGGCCGGGCCCCCAGGTGGGCCGGGCCCGGTCGCAGCTGCGACCCCTGTGACCGCGGTATGTACGCCAGTGTTCCCAACCCATGCGTAGACTGCCCGAAACCTTATGTTTTTAATACAGTTAGACACGTTCAGAAATAGATGGTAGAACCATGTTGGTGTTTGTGTGATGCTAGTCTTGAGATGCCTCTCTTTTCATTGTTCCTCAAGAAATGCTGCAATAATGCATACCAATTTACTTGTCAGGAGAAAAGTAGAATGTCTCCATAAGCCCACACGAGCAAGGCAAGTGCCAGTTTAGGACAGTAACAATGCCAACAGTATAATGGGCTTTATAGCAATGCGTATAAACATATAAACAGCATATGTAGAAACATGGAAGTAAAGAAAACACTGCCATTCTTATTATTTTTATTATGTGTGTTATGAGCTAAGATCCATGAGCAACTTTTAGCAGCACCACTTCAGAGTGCGCAGGAAGACTTGCTCATTTCAACGCTCACCGAGCCTTGGTGCAGAGCTTTCTCAGTTATGGACCTATGTAGTCTATGATTTTTTTTTTTATAAATCCCTAGTCAATATCCAACCCTGTTTCAAAATGTCAAATCAAACAGGGAAAGTTAATACCATAGCACATTATTTCTACAATAATATTCACTTAGACACCGTTAAACATGTAAGTGACTAAATTTAAAATGGCTCTGTCACATTGCTGTTTTTTCTTTCATAAAGCATTCATTTTATTAGATTAATCCCTTTTGTCCCTCTATTTTCTATTAGTTTTAATTCACTTTATATATATATAAAAATGCAAGGGCTACTTTTTCATTTGAGTGTTACTGTGGTCATTTTTTGGCAATAGGTGACTAAAGTAAATTGCCATTTCAGTTGCTAAGCTAATTTACCAACAATTCATCAGTAATATATATATATATATATATCTACAAAAATACCGGCACTCCAAGATTTTAATTCCTGAAGGATCTTTATTTGGCGAATTCCAGCAAGTCAACCTTTCAGTCTTTCTAGTGAGCTTTTAGCAGGATATCCAAAACCAGTGCAAACTGCAGACATAATGGACAGAGAAGATCAATATGGCAGCACCCAGATATTGAGATCCGGCAACAGGCATAACATAATAAATATAAATAAGGTAAATGAGTATAGTCATTAAGACATAAAGAGTCTAAAGAAAAGAAAAGAAAAGAAAAAACCCTGACAGTGCCTTTAATCATAATAATGGAATAAAGAGTTCTTTGATGATTCATTAAGTTTTAATGAAATGAATCAACTGTAATTTCTCTTAAATCTCGTTCTTTGTAGGGGTCCAAGGAACACACAGGTCTCTCCTATGGATGTTGCTGGGAGGGACGCTAGTTGTTATATATGGAAACCAAAAATCTTTGGCAGTCAGCCTTCAAAATGATTTTCTGAATGGAATAAATGTAGCAGACATTTTGAATTACCAAAGTGGAAGAAATGGTAAGTACCAACTTTTAAACTGATTAGAGTTCTAAAACCACTTATTATATCAGGGTTTTTATAAATAAGGCTGAACATTCCACGTAAAATATTATACACGATGGAATGGATGCCAATTCTTCTACGACCCAGTCATTTATATTGCTTATATTCTTTGTGGAAAAAGTACATTGGGGATATGCTAACGATCTTAAAATTTGTATCCAATACAGTGTACATGTTAAAGAGTATTGATTTTGTTTCACATATATATCAGTTATATAATATATATATATAATGATGAGCCTATTTAGGAGGTGTTGATGGGGGGAGATGGATATTAAAAAGAATTGTGTATTTGCATGGAGAATAAAAAAGGAAATGGTGGATTTGGGGTTACGTTGCAGACTTTTTTTTCCAAGTATACTGTCTGGGAAATTATGGCCAAGAAACAATGACACTAATTTGATATGTTATTTTTTGTTCTTCACAGTACAACAATACCCACAGAGCTGCAGTGAAATAAAGAGCAGTCAGAGTGGCCTATATATGGTGGAACCATTGGCAGGAAAGCAGGTAGTCGTACAGTGTGAGCAAAAATCAGCTGATGGCATATGGACAGTTATACAGAAAAACAATCAAAAGAACCCAAGGCTATGGGAAGCTTCCTGGGAAAGCTACAAAAGGGGATTTGGAGACCCAAGAGAAGACTATTGGTTGGGCAATGAGAATATTCATTTGTTGACGAAGCAACAGTTGCACCGTATCCAGTTCAGAGTACGCACATCAGCAGGAATAGTCTACACAGCCCATTACACTTCTTTTTCACTTGAAGCAGAAAGCAGTTGTTATCGTATTCGGCTTGGTCGGTACTCGGGAAATGCTGGGGATGCTATGACTTCAGGGGAACCCAATGCAGGGCATGACAACATGAGATTTTCAACTAGTGATCGGGACAATGATTTATCAGGGACAAATTGTGCCTACCTTGGAGGGGGTGGTTGGTGGTATGACAATTGCAGATTTGCTAATCTTAATACAGGTAAAGGTATTTACTGGCACCAGTTGTGTCGTGGAGATTGTCAGTCAAGTGAGATACTCATTCAACCAGTATACATATGTTCAGAAGGTGGTGGAGGTGGTGGTGATGATAGTGGAGGTGATGGAGGAGGTGGTGGTGGAGATGGAGGAGGAGGAGGAGGAGGAGATGGAGGAGGAGGTGATGGAGGAGGTGGTGATGGAGGAGGTGGTGATGGGGGAGGAGGTGGCGGGGAAGATGGAGGAGGTGGTGATGGAGGAGGAGGGGGAGATGGAGGTGGTGGGGGAGATGGAGGTGGTGGTGATGGAGGAGGTGGTGATGGAGGAGGTGGTGGTGGGGGAGATGGAGGTGGTGGTGATGGAGGAGGAGGTGACGGGGGAGGAGGTGGTGATGGAGGAGGTGGTGATGGGGGTGGAGGAGGTGATGGAGGAGGGGGCGGTGGTGGAGGTGATGGAGGAGGTGGTGGAGGAGGAGGAACTGTTGATCCAACACCTAATCCTTGTGAATTAAAGTAGTAACACAGCAATATTTGTTTCATAGCCTAGTGTGTAATTCTATCCAAGTGCGTTTGATAGTACACTAAGTTTTACTGAACTATTTTAAAATAGACTATGTGTGTCCTCTTTTATATAGTTTCACAAAAATAAGTATATACAGGAGACATAAGTAAAACAAAATAAAAAAATGAATATGACGTTTGTTTGCATCTGTGCTCATACACAGTGGCGTAACTACCACGGTCGCCTGGTTTGCAGAGGCAACCGGGCCAGTCACTCCACCAGGGTTGAAGGCCTGGCTGGGGTCTCAGGCATAGTGAGTTTCTTATTTTGTTCTGGGACTTGAGACATGCTAAGAATGTAAATATGGGTAAAAAAGAGAACTTTAGTTATGAGCGAGAACATAGAATGTGATGGCAGATAAGAACCATTCGGCCCATGTAGTCTGCCCAATTTTCTAAATACTAGTACAGTATTACTTCTTGATATTATTTTTAAACCTTTGCACCTCTAATTTAAGACTATGTCCTCTTGTTGTGGTAGTTTTTCTTCTTTTAAATATAGCCTCCTCCTTTACTTTGTTGATTCCCTTTATGTATTTAAATGTTTCTATCATATCCCCCCGTGTCATCTTTCCTCCAAGTTATACATGTTAAGATCCTTTAATCTTTTCTTGTAAGTTTGACCTGTATCAACTGGCTCTAGCTAAGCCTGAGGTGAAGAAATTACCTGAACTACATGGAAGATGAGGCCCTACTAATGGCAAAATGCAAGAGAGGCTCTATCTGTGAAAAAAGCCAAGTGGGTGGGGGACCACTGAATGATGTGGCAGGAACGTTGGCCTCTTGGGGACCGTAACATTCACTAACCAGTTGACTGTTGATTAACCCTAGCCTATAACGGGATGGGAGTATGATTAGTATGTAATAATGGAGATGTACCTAGCTTACAGTATAGATAAGATTCCTTACCAACAAGGATGAACACTTGAAAAAAAAAGATGAACCTGAAAAAAGGAAATGTGAAAGGTTAGGTCGTAGTTGGGCCGTAGTTGGGGCTATTTGGCTGTGAAAAACTCACCTGTAAAATAATGACAGCAATTCGTACCAGAGTTTCAAGAAGTAGCTATCTGAGGATAAAACTATAGTTATCCTCTTTAAGCTAGTAAAGTAGGTACAACATAAGGTGACGTGAAACTAGGTATACCTAGTTAACATGAGTGGAGTAAGAAATCCAAGGAATTCCCTGGAGTTTGGGGGAGGGTAGCAACAGTAAGGGATTTAAGGGTGATTATTTCTGATGACTTAAAGGTAATAGAGCAGCAGGAAATGCTAGCAGAATGCTTGGTTGTATAGGGGGAGGTATTAGCAGTAGAAAGAGGGAAGAGCAGGGGCGTTTTAGCCGCGAGGCAAACAAGGCATTTGCCTTGGGCGGCATTTTTCAGGGGGCGGCAAAAAACGCCGCCCCCCAAATGCCCAGGCACATGCTTTGTTAGCCTCGCGGCTAACTGACCGGCTGGGCTGGCGGGCGGCGCTGGGCAGGCGGCTGGCGAGGGAGCTCTTCCCCTGAGCGGTCCGCTCAGCTCCCTTGCGCGCATCAGAGTGAGGCTGGGAACCGGAAGATGACGTCATATTCCGGCTCCCAGCCTCACTTTGCGGCGCGCGAGGGAGCTGAGCAGACCGCTCAGGGGAAGAGCTCCCTCGCCAGCCGCCTGCCTAGCCCAGCCGGCATCCACTGGACCATCAGGGAGGTAATGAACCCCTCTCCCCCAGCACTCCCAAAGGTAGGGGGGGGGCTAAATAAAAATAAATAAAAAAATGTGTTAATGTGAGTGAGTGAGTGAGTGTGTGTCTGTTAATGTGTGTGTGTTTTGTTAGTGTGTGTGTGTCTGACTGTGTCTGTTAGTGTGTATGTGTGTGTGTCTGACTGTGTGTCAGTGAGTGTGTGTTTGCCTGTGTGTGTGTGTGTCAGTGAGTGTGTGTTTGCCTGTGAGTGTGTGTGTCAGTGAGTGTGTGTCTGTTAATGTGTGTGTGTTTGTTAGTGTGTGTGTGTGTGTCTGCTAGTGAGTGAGTGTGTCTGTTAGTGCGTGTGTCTGACTATGTTTGTCTGTTAGTGTGTCAGTGAGTGTGTGTGCCTGTGAGTGTGTGTGTTAGTGAGTGTGTGTCTGTTAGTGAGTGTGAGTGTGTCTGTTAGTGTGTGTGTGTTTCTGTTAGCGAGTGTATGCGTATCTGTCAGTGAATGTGTGTGTGTGTATTTAGAAGGCGGGGGGGGGTTGGTGCAGGGGGGGTTGGCGCGGGGGGAGGGGGGGGGCGCCTGCGTTTTGTCTTGCCTAGGGCAGCACAAAACCAGGATACACCACTGGGGAAGAGACCGTATCTTCGGAAGGATATTGATACCTTAGAGAGAGTTCAGAGAAGGGCTACTAAACTGGCTCATGAATTGCAGGATAAAACTTTCCAGGAAAGGTCAAAGGATCTTAATATGTATAGCTTGGAGGAAAGACGAGACAGGGAGGATATGATAGAAACATTTAAATACATAAAGGGAATCAACACAGTAAAGGAGGAGACTATATTTAAAAGACGAAAAACTACCACAACAAGAGGACATAGTCTTAAATTAGAGGGACAAAGGTTTAAAAATAATATCAGGAAGTATTACTTTACTGATAGGGTAGTGGATGCATGGAATAGCCTTCCAGCTGGAGTGGTAGAGGTTAACAAAGTAAAGGAGTTTAAGCATGCGTGGGATAGGCATAAGGCTATCCTAACTGTAAGATAAAGCCAAGGACTAATGAAAGTATTTAAAAAATTGGGCAGACTAGATGGGCCAAATGGTTCTTATCTGCTGTCACATTCTATGTTTCTATGTAATAAAGACCTAAAATAGAGTATAGACAATAATGTAAGGGACCATGTGGTAATTCTTATGCATGCATGAATGTACCTGCATTGTGTAGATAAGACATAACTGCAAGGTTTGCGCCTGAGTGTGTACACCAGGTTTCCAGTTATTTGGGTAATTGTTAATAGGGGAAGAATCGTAGAAACCTAAAATCCTTGGGAGTAAGGCCAGTGAATAGCCATTGGTGTGAGAAGTGGTATCAGTAATCAACACAGAAAAGGAGGAGGAGTAAGGCCAGTGAATAGCCATTGGGATGATCTTGCAGGAGATTGTATTCTTGAAGTCTGAGATTTGTAAATTATCTGATAAACAAACTCAGACTGGAACTGCTGCAAAGCCACTGCCGCAGAGACATACTAGAAATGGCAGATGGATTACTGTAGGATCTGGTAGGCTTAGAGTTGTGGATAAAAGGCATATTGCACAGTCTGTTGCTCTATATAATTCATTTTCTGCACTTTCAGAGTGTAATGATGTTGTGGAGAGAGGCTTGTGGTGTTGTGGAGACAGGCTTGGAGACTATGGTGAGGCCTAATAGAAAGCAGTTGTTGTTGGGGGATTCCATCATAAGAGGTGTGGAAATGGACAATGGTGGTCTTGTGAGGTGTCTTCCCGGAGCTACTGCTCACAGAGACATGAGACGTATCTGTAATATTGTTAAGCAAGCAAAGCAGGAAGGGGAATTGGATGTACTTGTCCATCTAGGGACAAATGACTTGGCTTGCAATGAGGTTTCAGAGGTTAAGGAAGTTTTTAGTGTTTTTGCCAATGATATACGGCAGGTTGCTTCCACACTGTCATTCTCTGAAGTTCTGCCTGTGCATAACACTCAGAACGACAGGCGGATGCGTATTAGGGACTTTAATTTGTGGCTTGGTGAATGGTGTCGGGAGCAAGAATTTGGCTTTATTTCTCATGGTAGCTCTGTTTGGAATGGAAATAAACTGTACAAAAAAGATGGTTTGCATCTTTCTCAAAAGGGAACAAATGTTCTCAGTGAGCAGTTCAGAGGTTTTGCAAGGATGTATTTAAACTAGGAGGGGGGGCAAAAGGGTGATAAAACATCAATCCAATTGTCCCCCAAAACAAGGACAGAAGATGCCTGTAGCAAGTGTGTTAAATAATGATAAGCTTAGACTCATGTCTACAAATGCTCGCAGTTTAGGGAATAAGATCCATGAACTTGTGGCAATAATGGCAACTGATAGTGTAGATTTAGTCGCTGTTACTGAGACATGGTATAATGAGAAAAATGACTGGGACATAGCAATACCAGGGTACTCTTTATATAGAAAAGACAGGGAAGGCAAGAAAGGGGGAGGGGTGGCCCTGTATGTGAAGGATAGCATAAAATCTAGCCTAATAAAAGTTAGTGAGGCAAACATAGAGTCCGTTTGGGTTACGTTAGAATTTGGTAATCACACAGTAACTAGTGTAGGTGTGATTTATAGGCCCCCAGGACAAATTGAAGAGTTAAATAATCTACTAGTTGAGGAAATAGCTAAAATGACAATGAAGGGGGAAGTTATCATCATGGGTGACTTTAATCTTCCTGATGTGAATTGGAAAACAAAAATAGCTGCTTGTGCCAGGAGCACACATATTCTAAACTCCCTACTGGAATTGTCTCTAAAACAAGTCGTTGAGGAGCCAACTCGTAAAGAGGCCATACTAGATTTAATGTTAACAAATGGAGATTTGGTATCAGATATTACTGTATGTGAAAGTTTAGGATCAAGTGATCATCAGTCAGTGTGGTTTAATATAAGAACAGTGACTGAGTCACATCACACAAAAACAAAAGTTTTAGACTTTAGAAAAACAGACTTTTCTAAAATTAGAATATGTGTAGAGGAGTCATTATCAGCCTGGAGCAATTTAAATGGAGTCCAAGAGAAATGGTATTATTTAAAAGTTGCACTACTGAAGGCAACAGAAAATTGCATTAGGCTTGAAAGTAAAAGCAAAAAATTCAAGAAACCATTGTGGTACTCCGCAGATGTGGCCAAAATAGTTAAAAACAAAAAGTTAGCATTTAGTAATTATAAGAAAACCCAGAGTGAGGAAGACAAAATTATCTATAAGATCAGAAAGAGGCTAAGCAAGTTATAAGAGCTTCCAAATCACACACAGAAGAGAAAATAGCACAGTCAGTAAAAAAGGGGGAGAAAACTTTTTTTAGATACATAAATGAGAAAAGAAAAGTAAAACAAGGATTAGTTAGATTAAAAACAAAAGAAGGAAGGTATGTAGAAAAGGATAAACGTCTAGCTGACTGCCTCAATGAATATTTTTGTTCTGTATTTACAGATGAAAACGAAGGAAAGGGACCTCAGTTAAGAAAAAGGATAAATGAGTAATTTATTACACCTGAGTTTACAGAGGAAGAGGTTCTATTTCAACTGTCAAAAGTAAAGACAAATAAGTCAATGGGACCTGATGGAATACACCCAAAGCTATTAAAAGAGCTTAGTGGTGTACTAGCAAAACCATTAACAGATTTATTTAACCAATCATTGTTAACAGGAATAGTCCCAGAAGATTGGAAGTTAGCCAATGTTGTGCCCATTCACAAGAAAGGTAATAGGGAGGAGTCTGGCAACTTTAGGCCAGTAAGCCTTACTTCAGTAGTGGGGAAAGTGATGGAAACCATGTTAAAGGATAGGATTGTTGAACATCTAAAAACACATAGATTTCAAGATCAGAGACAACATGGGTTTACTTCAGGGAGATCATGCCAAACTTATCTTATTGATTTTTTTGATTGGGTAACTAAAATTATAGATCAGGGTAGTGCAATAGACATTGCTTACCTAAATTTCAGTAAGGCTTTTGACACTGTTGCACATAGAAGACTTATCAATAAACGGCAATCTTTAAGTTTGGATTCCAATATTGTTGAATGGGTAAGGCAGTGGCTGAGTGACAGGCAACAGAGGGTTGTAGTCTATGGAATATATTCGAAGCTTGGACTTGTCACCAGTGAGGTACCTCAGGGTACTTGGACCCATTCTCTTTAATATTTTTATTAGTGATATTGCAGAAGGTCTTGATGGTAAGGTATGTTTTTGCTGATGATACTAAGATATGTAACAGGGTTGATGTTCCAGGGATAAGCCAAATGGCAAATGATTTAGGTAAACTAGAAAAATGGTCAGAATTGTTGCAACTGACATTTAATGTGGATAAGTGCAAGATAATGCATATTGGACGTAAAAACCCAAGGGCAGAGTACAGAATATTTGATAGTGTCCTAACCTCAACATCTGAGGAAAGGGATTTAGGGGTGATTATTTCTGATGACTTATAGGTAGGTAGACAATGTAATAGAGCAGCAGGAAATGCTAGCAGTATGCTTGGTTGTATAGGGAGAGGTATTAGAAGTAGTAAGAGGGAAGTGCTCATGCCATTGTACAGAACATTGGTGAGACCTCACTTGGAGTATTGTACACAGTACTGGAGACCGTATCTTCGGAAGGATATTGATACCTTAGAGAGAGTTCAGAGAAGGGCTACTAAACTGGTTCATGGATTGCGGGATAAAACTTACCAGGAAAGGTTAAAGGATCTTAACATGTATAGCTTGGAGGAAAGACAAGACAGGTGGGATATGATAGAAACATTTAAATACATTAAGGGAATCAACACAGTAAAGGAAGAGACTATATTTAAAAGAAGAAAACTACCACAACAAGAGGACATAGTCTTAAATTAGAGTGGCAAAGGTTTAAAAATAATATCAAGAAGTATTACTTTACTGAGAGGGTAGTGGATGCATGGAATAGCCTTCCAGCTGAAGTGGTAGAGGTTAACACAGTAAAGGAGTTTGAGCATGCGTGGGATAGGCATAAGGCTATCCTAACTATAAGATAAGGACAGGGACTATTGAAAGTATTTAGAAAATTGACTAGATGGGCCGAATGGTTCTTACCCTCACATTCTATGTTTCTATGTTAGTTAGAATTGATATGGCTTCGGATAACGTGCCATACGTTGAAGTGAGTTTGCGGAACATATAATACAAGGGGTCCACTCTTTCAAATACTTGGGTATGATATTAGACCCCAATCTATCTTTTGGCCTGCACATAGAAAAGCTTGCATCTAAACTTTATCCAAAATTAGGTGCCCTGTACAGAAACAAAGCCTGCCTAAGCCCTACAGTAAAGGAAAAGATTGTACAGCAAATGCTGATGCCAATCATTGATTATGGGGGATGTAGTATATGCGTCTGCATCGCAATCCCACATTAATAAACTCAATACATTGTATAACTCGTTCTGCCGATTTGTGCTACAATGTAATTACAGGACCCATCATTGTGACATGCTAAAGGAACTTAACTGGCTGTCGCTGGAATCCAGACGCACCCTTCATCTTTCCAGCCTTGTTTTTAAGAGCTTTTCTGGGAAACTCCCACCCTACCTGAACAAAATGCTTTCCCCAGCTGTTCCCACTTTCTATAAGCTCCGATCCAGTACAAGCAATTTACTTAGTCTACCTCAATACAAAAAGAAAGCGGCCCGATCCTCCTTCTCCTACAGAGCACCGCAATTGTGGAACGACTTCCCGCACAATTTAAAATCTTCCCTAAGCCTAAAGTCATTTAAGAGATCCCTCTCTACATACCTCAAAACAGAATGCACGTGTCATGGTTGATTATATATTTTCGGCCTGTTCTATGTTAAATTTTGTATATATTGTGTATTAATATTGTTTTTGTATTTTGTTGTACCTAATGTAACAATGCAATGATTTGTGGACCCAGGACATACTTGAAAACGAGAGAAATCTCAATGTATCTTTCCTGGTAAAATATTTTATAAATAAATAAATAAAGGGGTAGTGCTCTAGAAAAATAATAGTGACCAGGGGCTATGTGAAAAAAAACCACACAATTATATGTACCCTGTGTATGGGAGAAATATTCATCACTAAGGGACATTTTGTGAACTGATGGCAGTCGAATGACACTGTGTGGAATTTATACGGATTTGACAAATACTTAGCATGGGGAACAGGTAATAATACAAGAGTATTGATCAACAACGTACGTTGGATCCTATACAGCAGGAAAATAAATTTCTGGGACAAGGATTGAAACAACTGCTATGTATCGAGTAATATCAACACTGTTTATTTAATATTCCCCCCCCCCCAAAAAAAAAAATGTTCTGGAGTGCTTTATCTATATAAAGATGTCATAGGCAAATAGTGCAAAGCAGCTGTAGCTAATGTCTTGATACAAAGTGTCAGTCACAACTAAGGTAAAACCTTAGCCTCCTCTTTTTAGGTGTGCTCCACATGCAACTTCTCACCTCGAATCTATAGTTCTGTTCTGCTCTTCCTGCCCAGTCTCCTCGAAAGGTCCAAGTCAAGAGTCACCTCGAATCTATTGTTCTGTTCTGTTCTTCCTGCCCAGTCTCCTCAAAACCAATCCAAGTCGAGAGTCAAAGCAGCACAGTTTAAATAGAGACACAGGGAACGTGACCGACGTTTCCATAACTGCTGTTTCCACTTCTGCTTGAGATTCGCAGAGGAGACCAGGCAGGGGGAGCAGAATGGAACTACAGACATAGTTGCAGACTGCTGTGTGTGTGTGCTGTGTGCGCTGTGTGAGGGTGCTGTTAGTGTGATGTGTGTGTGAGGGTGCTGGTAGTGTGCCATGCGGGTGAGGGTGTTTGTGAGGGTGCTGTTAATGTACTGTGTGTGAGGGTGCTGTTTGTGTGTGTGTGCGCTTTTGAGGGTGCTGTTAATGTACTGTGTGTGAGGGTGCTGTTTGTGTGTGAGGGTACTGGTAGTGTGCTGTGTGTGTGTTTGTTAGGGTTCTGTTTGTGTTTGTGAGGGTACTGTTAGTGTGCTGTGTGTGTGTGAGGGTGCTGCTTGTGTGCTGTGTGTAAGGGCGCTGTGTGTGTTTGTGAGGGTGCTGTTTGTGAGGGTGCTATGTGTGTTGGTGCTGTATGTGTGTGTGGGTGCTGTATGTGTGTGGGGGTGCTGTATGTGTGTTGGTGCTGTGTGTGTGTGTGGGTGCTGTATGTGTGTGGGTGCTGTGTATGTCTGTGGGTGCTGTATGTGTGTGGGTACTGTGTGTGTGTTGGTGCTGTGTATGTGTGTGGGTGCTGTATGTGTGTAGGTGCTGTGCATGTCTGTGGGTGCTGTATGTGTATAGGTGCTGTGTATGTCTGTGGGTGCTGTATGTGTGTTGGTGCTGTGTATGTGCTGTGTATGTGTGTGGGTGCTGTATGTGTGTGGGTGCTGTATGCGTGTTGGTGCTGTGTATGTGTGTGGGTACTGTATGTGTGTAGGTGCTGTGTATGTCTGTGGGTGCTGTATGTGTTTAGGTGCTGTGTATGTCTGTGTGTGTGGGTACTGTATGTGTGTAGGTGCTGTGTATGTCTGTGGGTGCTGTATGTGTTTAGGTGCTGTGTATGTCTGTGGGTGCTCTATGTGTGTTGGTGCTGTGTATGTGTGTGGGTGCTGTATGTGTTTAGGTGCTGTGTATGTCTGTGGGTGCTGTATGTGTGTTGGTGCTGTGTATGTGTGTGGGTGCGAGGCTAACTAGGCATTTGCCCTGGGCATTTGGGGGCGGCTTTTTTGCCGCCCCCTGAAAAATGCCGCCCAAGGCAAATGCCTTGTTTGCCTCGCGGCTAATATGCCCCTGTGTCTGGGTGCTGCACTTAGACAAGAGCCCCACTGTTACAAAATGAAGATAGATAGATAGATAGAAATACTAATTTTCTACATTACATTTGCCATCTCAAAATGTCAGACAATCTCAGGCATTGTGTCTGTTTATTTTCACCAACAGTAAAGTATTTGACACTTTAAACAGAGTTCCTGGAGCACTTGTTCCTATTGCCGTATGTCTCTCTTGCAGTGAGGTTAAGAATTGTAGAGAAACAATGTCTCCAAACCTTATTCAGGGGTTATTACATACAGTGTCAAAACAAACTGTTAATTCTTACCATTAGCATAATGTGTGTCTGACATGTCTGTATTACTTGAATTGATAAATTAAACTTTGTCTTCAGTTGACACTTATCTCAGAATAAAAATGTAGCCACATTTGGTAAAATGTAGAGAATAGCAATATGCATTTATTTATATTTTTCATTCTTTATTTTTAATTCTTTCATGTACGTTTGCAAAATCACAAGGAGCTATTGCGATATTATTCAAGAGACGTAGGAATACAGTTGATAGCATTTCATGGCACTGCACATTTTCTGTGAAAATTTATATCAAGAGATTAGAAAGTTGTCATTAACTTACTGCAATACACAAATATACTAAAATTCAACAGAGTGTAGTATGGCTAAGCTTAGTTGATGAGCCTTGGCCTCTTTTAGAGGCATATACATTCAATGATCCTGAAAGATAGATAGATAGATAGATAGATAGATAGATAGATAGATAGATAGATAGATAGAAAAATGTTATACATGGAAAATAATAATAAAAACTAAGAATCCTTGTCATTGACATCTCCTTGATATGTGTGGAAGGAGGTCCACAACAGCAGCTAATGCATGTATTGTAGTTTTGAAGAGAGTTTTTATTTTTTCCAAGCGCTGCTGATTTTCCTCTGCAGTTGATATAGGGTCACAGAATGCAAACCTTTCTAGACTAACCATGAAATTGAAGATTATGCTAGCTTTAGTGTACTAATAATCTTAATTTTAATAAGGACAGGAGGCGAGTATTTTGCATTAACTCTCTTTACTAAACTCCACAGCAGTAAAGAAAAACGTAAAGAGTAACAAATAAATCACTGAGCAACATAGTATATAAGGGTCATGCTGCCTGTACACTTCCTCTTTCTTAAAGCGACATCCAAGTCCATATAGAGCTCGAACATCCAGAAACTCAACGAAACAGTAACTGCGGTCTCTGGCGAGCGGAACTTGAGGAGACTCCTGGTAACGAGATAGGAGGAAAGACCAAATGAAGCCGTCATCCCATCTTACGGAGTCGTGAGGTTAACAAACCAGCGACCAGTGGAGGTCCTGAAGAGGGTTACACTGAAAGGAGAGTATAAAATCGGTTAGGTACTGAACCGTAACTGTTTACGCCTGTGGGCTTTAACAGAATGGTGTAAATTAAACAGTACAGACAGATTGTAAGCTGGCCATAGGCTAAATATGTGTTAGGTGTAAGCATGTTGTACAACTAAACTGTCCGTCTAGGTGGAAACACTGGGGATAGAGATGGAAGGGATACCGAATATGTCCAGAAGATAGTGGAATTACTAACATGAATCCCAAAATCCATCACCTTAAGATCCACTCCCCCGAGGAGTCAGCGTAGGGAACAAAAGGGAGGGAAAATACTCGCTCCTGTCCTTATTAAAATTAAGATTATTAGTACACTAAAGCTAGCATAATCTTCAATTTTATAACATGACAGGAGGCTTCCTATTTTGCAATTTTAACGCTGAAGAAGTGACATCCCAGCAGAAGGGGGAGTGCGAAAATAAAATGTACGGAAAGTGGATTCCCTAGACCAGTCCGCCGTTCGGAGAATATCCGAAGGGACGCCCCTGCCAGGAAGGCTGATGAAGCCGCCGCACCGCGAACGGAGTGGGCGCCGAACGCGGGATCTATACCTGCGAGGGAAAGGATCCAGCGGATCCATCGGGCCAGTGTGGTGACCGAGACTGGGGCGTGAGGGCGCACGTAGGAGACTAGGAGTTGGCCCGACGTAGAGGATCGGAGTGAGGAGGTAACGGAAACATACCTGCGAAGGGTGGACACGACACAGAGTTGCGGGTCGTCGGGGAAAAAGGGGTAGAAGACCGAAGTCGAACCCAACTTAGTGCGACGGGAAATGTGGAAAGTGACCCCTTCCGGGGCCACCTCGAAAGCGTCCACGTCGAAGGCCCTAACATCCAAAACCTGTCGGAAAGATACTAGACAAAGGAGAAAAGCGCACTTAGCGGATAGTTGGCGTAGGGAGAGGCGGTCATTCGGAAGCCAATCCCTGAAAAAACGGAGAACCAGTCCCACATCCCATAGGTGAGGGTATCTGGGGGCCGGGGGGCGGCGGAGCCGCATACCGCGTAGTAGACGGCAGACCAGAGGGTCTTTGCCGACCGGGAGATCCCCGACGGGGGTGTGAGCCGCCGAAATCGCGGAGCGAACGATGTTGACCGAACGGTAAGACGGCCAGATGAAAACAAGGAGGAAAGAAAATTAAGAATCATGGGAATAGGTGCTGTAAAGGGATCGGAGTTCCGTTCCATGCACCAAGTAGACCAGGAGGCCCAAGCTGAAAGGTAACAGCGTCTAGTTCCCGGGGCCCATGACTCCCATAAGAGGTCCCTAGCAGCCTGCGATAGTCCGCTGACTCGCCAGGAACCCCGGAAAGAGACCAAGCCACCAGGGGTAGCCGGTCTTCCAGGAGTAGTGGGTGGAGATACCCTTTGGGATCCGTGAGCAGGTCCGGGAAGGATGGTAGGAGGAGAGGGTCCCTGTAGGAGGAGGCCAGGAGGTCCGGGAACCATGGTTGGCTCTGCCACAAGGGCGTTATGACAACCAGTTTGATCTGTTGCGTCCGCATCTGGTGTAGTGTTCTCGCAATCATGGAGAATGGGGGAAAGGCGTAGGCTCCTGTCGTCGGCCATTGTTGGAGAAATGCGTCTGTCGCCTTGCTCTCCGGGTCCGGGAGCCAGCTGAAGAACTCCGGGGTCTGGTGATTGTTGCGAGAGGCAAACAGATCCAGGTGAAAGGGACCCCTCCGGGCTGTCAGGGCCCTGAAGATTCTCGTGTTTAGCTTCCAGTCGCTGACATCTCTCCAGTGGCGAGAGAACCAGTCGGCTGTGAGGTTGATTTCTCCCGGTAAGTATTCCGCCTGAAGCGTGATATTGCGAGGGAGGCAATAGTCGAAGATGTCCCTTGTGATATCCGACAGCAGGCGTGAGCGAGCGTCTCCCAGACAGTTAATGTACTGGACTGCGGAGACATTGTCCATGCGCAGGAGGATGCAGCAGTTGGATCTTTCCCGGGCCAGGCTGCGGATCGTGAAGGATCCCGCCAGGAGTCCGAGACAATTGATGTGCATGGAGAGCTCCTGTGCCGTCCATGTTCCTCCCATGGAGATGGTTCCGTTGGTGGCACCCCATCCCCACAGGCTGGCGTCTGATTCCAATACGAAGTCTGGGGTGTCTCCGAATATGGCCTTGCCGTTCCAGGCTTGCATGCTGTCCAGCCACCATGATAGTTCTTCGCGAACCTCCGTCGTCACCGGGACGGGTTGGTCGTAAGTAGGTCTGTGGCGTAGGTATTTCGCCTTGAGACGTTGCATGGCCCTGTAGTGGAGGGGACCCGGAAATATGGCTTGAATGGAAGCAGAGAGGAGTCCTACAATCCTGGCCAGGTTGCGTAGTGGAATGGAGTCGAGACGGAGAACCCTGCGAATCTCCTTGCGAATGGCTGTGATCTTTGAGGCTGGTAGTCTCAGAGTGCATGTCGTCGAGTCGATCTCGAAGCCGAGGAATTGTATCGTCTGAGTAGGGGTCAGTTCCGATTTCGGTTGGTTTACCACGAAACCCAGAGATTCCAGTAGGGACACTGCCAAGTGAGTGTGTTGGCGTAGTCTGTGTTCGTCGGAGCAGAAGAGAAGGTCGTCTAAGTAGATGATGCATCGAATGCCCCTGGATCTCAGGTGGGCCACCACTGGTTTTAGAAGCTTGGTGAAGCACCATGGGGCTGAGCTGAGCCCAAAAGGGAGGCAAGTGAATTGCCAAGGGCGTCCGTGCCAGAGGAAACGTAGGAGTGCTCGACAGTCCGGGTGCACCGGGACTGACAGATATGCATCTTTCATATCGAGCCTGGTGAACCAGTCGTTGCTTCGAAGAAGGTCTCGCAGGAGGTGGATGCCCTCCATCTTGAAGTGGCGATAGACCACATGTGCGGTGAGGGCGCGTAGATTGATGACCGGTCGGTATTCTCCTGACTTTTTCCGAACCAGGAAGATGTTGCTGAAGTACTCACCCCCGTCGTGGGCCAGCTGGATGGCCCCTTTGTCTCGGAGCTCGCGTAGCTCCGCGTTGACGAGGTTGTGGTCGGAGGACGACATGTGGATGGGGCGAGGGGGCTGAACCTGAAAGGGGGTCCCCACTAGGTCTATGATATATCCCTGTACTGTTTGTAGGATCCATGTGTCTGAACATAGGGCGGCCCAATTTTGGAAAGAAAGGGAAATACGGCCCGCAGTGCGGGTGCATGGTAACAGTGGAGGAATATGGGTCCTTACCTGCAGCAAAGCGGGAACGTCCGTGTCCGCGGGGTCCACGACCTCTATCCGAGCCTCTGGAAAAGGGTTGCTGCCGATAGTCCCTTGTCGGGTAGAACGGTGTTGGTTGGGTGCGGGGGCCTGAAGGCCAAAAGCGGCTGGCGGCACGGCCCCGCTGCCGGCCAGCCCTTCCAAAAACCCCTCTGGTAGGGTTGCTCCTGAAAACTCTGCGCATAGAGGATTGCGCCTTATTAAGGGAGGTGAACACGTTTACGTGTTTATTGAGTTCCTTGAGGAACGGTTCGCCAAATAGTTTTCCTTGTGCCTGGGGCCCAATCTCCTTTGTGCCAAGGTCTGCCAATTTACCGTTAATACGGTATAACGCTGCTTTTCGTCTCTCCGAAGAGAGCGTAACATTAGTGTTTCCAATGAAACAAAAACACCGTTGTGCCCATTCACGAACGTCATGTGCCCATTCCCTGATGTCCTCGGCAGAGAAGGAGTCGGCTTTGGCGTAGGCATCATCCGCCAGATACATAATGCGAGCCAGGGGGCCTACGGAATCCAGCAGGTTATCCTGGGCGCCCCATAGGCCTTTCTCTACCCCTCGGCGAGGGTCTCTACCACTGCGCATCATGAAGGTCGACATGACCTTGTCAAATTCAGGGGTCTGAGCGACCTTATCCGGCAGGGAAGGGCGTGGGCATTCAGACCTGAGTCGGCTGCGGACCTCCTTCTCCAGAGGTTTGCGGAGCCACAGGTGCATAAACCTGGAAAGGTGTTCTGGAGGTGACCAGTCACCCGATCTGGGGTGCCGTATGTTGCGGGGGTCGAACATCGCCTGACCAAAGGGGTCCAAAATGGTGTCTGAGTCTAGAGGAGGTTCTGCGTCCGCAGTGTCCTCAACACCTCCAGTCTGGGCAGCACCCAGGAGGGTCTCCCGCATTAAAGCGGAGACAGATTTCTCGTCCGAGCTCCATGCGTCGTAGTCCGACTCAGAAGCGTCAGCTTGCCATTCATCCAGCACTGACATGGACTGGGCAGGGCCCTGCTCTTCGTCTGAAGAGTACTCCTGACGCGGGGCCGGGGTGTGTAGTTTGGCAGATTTGCGCTTGGCAGGTGCCTTACCCTTAGGCGGTTTGGGTGCATAATCCTCGCCTTTGTCATGGCGCTTTTTAGGGCGGGAGTCATCCCTTGTCTGATAGTCGGACAAGTCGGAATCCGATTCGTGGCGTGTACGTCTGCGGGTTTTTGGTACGTCAGGAGCCGGAGCTCGGGCCTTGGAGAGTGCCTTCTCCACAGAGGCAGCGACAGCTGCGTTAATCATAGCCTGGAAGTCCACAGGGACGTTCTGGGAATCTTCCATGTTAGGGTAGGCTGATACGTCACTGAAAGGCACAGCAATAAACGGGCACCCAGGTCTTGATAATAGGCGTAGGGTCAGATTTGATAGTATGGTGGGACCAAGCCCAGATTAACCCCAGCAGGGTATAGTAGTGACCTTATAAACTGGGGCTCACCCAGTTAGAGAGAACTGCAACAGCTAGTCTCCCAGTAAGCAGCGTATTTATAGTGGGGGCTCACCCCGGTTGCACAGGGTTGGGACCCTTAAGTGCAGGTCACAATAATAAACAGGCAGCAGCACTGACCTGACTGACCCAGCCACAGGATATAGCTTGATAGAAGCAGATGAGGCACAGAGGTTCAGTAGCAGAGTGATAGCAGCTAGATGGAGTGCTGAGCAGGTAATCCTTCAGTCACAGGGGTGTGAGACACAAAAGGTGTGAAAAACAGCAATGCAGAGGTAACAGCAAGTTAGCACAGCCACACTGAGTCCCTAATGAGATGCACGAGGCAAAACTAAGAAGGCCGCGGGAATCTCGCGATGTCCGCGATCCAAAATGGCGGCCGCGAGTGTAGGCCGCAAGCCGGGGACTAAATTTTGAGGCCGGCCGCGGGCGGAAGCAGGCCGGCGCGAAAACGGCCGCGAACGATTCCGGCCGCAACGAGGGAGCCCAGGAGAGCACTCCAGGTTAGAGGGGCAGTGGGGGGACCTGGGGAGACCGAGGGGAGGCACAGGGAGGGTCCCCAAATGAACAAAGGGGCAGATAAGAGGGTAGAAACCCACAGAGAGCCCCTAGTCCCACAGCCCAGTACAGAACAGAAATAAAAGGAAATAAATTAAAGTAATAATAGAGATAATGACAATAGAATGGAATAAATAGATAATGACAATAAATGTATAAAGCTCCAGAGGAGCAGATTTTCTGACCTGTCTGCAATGGAGCAGTAAAGAAAGAGGAAGTGTACAGGCAGCATGACCCTTATATACTATGCTGCTCAGTGATTTATTTGTTACTCTTTACGTTTTTCTTTACTGTTGTGGAGTTTAGTAAAGAGAGTTAATGCAAAATAGGAAGCCTCCTGTCATGTTATAAAATTGTACTTAAAACATATATGCTTTACCATCTAGCTTCAAATGGACATATTAAAGGGACACTATAGTCACCAGAACAACTACAGCTTATTGAATTTGTTATGGTGAGTAGAATCATTACCTTCAGGCTTTTTGCTGTAAACACTGTCTTTTCAGAGAAAATGCAGTGTTTATATTACAGCCTAGTGATAACTTCACTGGCCACTCCTCAGATGGCTGTTAGAGATCCTTCCTGGGTCATGGCTGCCTAAAATGCATCCAAACATTCAGTGTCTCCTCCCTCTGCATGCAGACACTGAACTTTCCTCATAGAGATTCATTAATTCAATTCATCTCTATGAGGAGATGCTGATTGACCAGGGCTGTGTTTGAATCATGCTGGCTCTGCCCCTGATCTGCCTCTTTGTCAGTCTCAGCCAATCCTATGGGGAAGCATTGTGATTGGATCAGGCTACCACTTCTGATGATGTCAGCAGGCAGTGGGAAGGTCTACAGGGACAAAATATTTTACTATATTTAGGGGTGCATGATGGGACCAGGGGATGGTGGTTTTAACCCTATAGGTTCAGGAATACATGTTTGTGTTCCTGACTCTATAGTGCTCCATTAAAAAAAAATTTTGGTTATATTTAAAAGAAAGATGGCATACATACAACAGTGTCATATTAACAATACTTGCCAGTAAATACAGCATAGTTACACAGGCTTATTCACTAACGTTTGTGAATTGTTGGGAATTCTTTTCGGACACAGGCCTCGATTTAATAAATTTGTTTAAAGTGATTTTTAATTAAAAAAAAAAACATTGTAATATCCACATTTCTACATCAGACATTCTAAATAAAAATTTATTGTCAAAATAAATAAAATATACATAATATAGATTTTTTAAAATTATATATATATATATTTATATATATATATATATATATATATAAAATCTAAATATTAAAACATTAAAAAAAAATTTAAAATATTAAAATTATATCAAAGGTTTATCCAAAAATATTAAATCATTTGAAAAGCTTATCCAAGAATGTTAAATCAAGGCCACAGTTTCACGTGCTATTTTGGCCTAAAAATTTGAAATTCACTTTGAATTCTCAGTAATGCACAATTTAGAGACTAATCACAGACACAGCAATACCCTTCAGAAAAAAAACTTCAAAATAGCAGTTTTACTGAGGCATACAAAAAGCACCTAGAATGACTCCACTTTGTACTAGTACTGACACTGGTAAGAAATATTACTGCATTACAAGTAAGAGAACTTCGAATGGCACTCATTGACACCGCCATGCAGAGATCAGAGGATTCTTTACAACATAATATCTGCAGAAGCAAATCTGTGTAACATACATCTACATCAAAATATTAAAAAAAATGAGCATATAGAGCACCACAGTGAGTTTAATAACTACAGATAAACAAAAAAAAAAATGGTAAAAAAATTAAATTTAAAGAAAAGGAGCTCTACCGCTAGGTCTCACAAAAGTTCATAGACAGATTTAGGTTTGTGAGCAGTTTACATATAATGTGTTTTTTAGTGTTTTATAAATTCTGTGTAGTATCACTAGTAGTGCTTACTCTTTAGGATTGAAAGTAAATTACCTATGCAAAATACCTGCTGCTTAGCTCTATATTGTTGAACCGTACCTTTTGCATGTAGTGTCCTTGCCTCTGAGAAATTTGCTGTCACTGCTTACAGTGTCCATGTCTTTTGCATGAGAACTGAGTGGATTTTTCTCGCAGAGCAGCGTCACCAATGGATGTGAGTTTAAAATAGTCCCTACTTTGTCTTATGATATTTATTGTTTAAGCTGGAATTACAATGAAATTTTCTTTTTCCAAAAATACCCAGAAATTAGTCGCTTTAAATAATATTCAGGTAAGTAGTCTATTCTATATGTGTGCAGCGATGACAGAATATTTGTAAATTAAAGGGAAACTATAGGAAGAAAAAGACCCCCCATCTTAATGCATTATGTAGATAACAAAAAAGGTAACAAATAAATTGTACAAAAATACAAGTTGCCTGCAGATGAGGGGTCCACATGCAGCTGGCAGACCCTCTCCCTAACTAAGAAGAGATGTCTAGTCAAGAGCATCTCATTCAGATCTACATGGTCTAATCCTATCCTATAAACCCCTGTCCAACAGATGATAATGTGATAAGTAGTTTACCTCCAGGAGAAATTTCACTCAGGATGATGGAAACTGCTCTATAAACTGATAGTAGCCATACTTTGCTTGCTATAGGTCTATACTGCATAGTGAAGTATTTGGCTCAGATTTCTCCCTTGAGGAGAGCTTCCACAGGCCAGTTTTTTACCATTAACCCTATTCTCTGGGACACTGGGAGAATTAACATGGAAGACTGTGCATGACAGGTCACATCATAAAATAAAATGCATTTCTCAAGCCATGTCCCTGAGGTCTGCCAAAGAGTCACCTCCCAACGCTGGGATGTATTCATTCTAGGCATGTGCCACAAGCATTGTATAATGCTCACGAATGTCAATAACTTTCATTGATTTTGTTACACTTTTCCAGGTAATTTGACCATCACAGTGTAGTTGAAATGTAGATAAAATTATGCTTTTGTAGCAGATTAAATTTAATTGTATAAAAGAGCACATGGCTATCTTCACCACAGGGAAAAAGAGGTTAAATGTTACCCACTACAAATTGTCTTACAAATTGAGTTACCATAACTGCTATGGGTCTATGCCAAGTGTCAATACCAACCAAATGATCCACACTATTTTCCCAGTGCCATGACTGTACTTTGGCATCATAGTGTCATAAGATAGGACTTGACTGTTTCTTCCAACAAGGTCTCCCTAGTGCTTTTCCAGGGGTTGATTACGGTTAAATACTACCCACTTCAGCACATGCAGAGTACTAGGCTGGAACAGCAGTGAAAACACATTGGTGAAAGAGCAGCAAGGTCTCCCATAGAAGAATTGGATTGGCAATTGTATTGCCCCACCATGTTAAGATGGGGTGGGAGCATTAAACCACATGGTTGAGCAGTGAGGGCATGAGAAGAACACTGGGTGGTTGGTAAGAACATGAGGACTAATATGGATGGTTGACAAAGGCTTAGGGATTGACATAGTGGTGGTTGGTAAGGGCCTTGGGAGAGACACTGGATGGTGATGGTAGTCGTATGTCCATGTGGTTTCAGTTTGCGTCCATCCCCCCATATTGTGATTTGCCTGATGCCATGAATAATAACTGGCAGGAGTCTCATGGATATTCCATTATATGACACCTGTAGTGTGAGCATTCTGCAATCCTTGTCATTCATATTCCTATTCAGAAATCACAAATTATAACAGTAATTGGTTACAATATCCCAGTGAGCTATACCAATATAAGCAGATACTCAAACACCTTTGTGAGTATTCCCTTATACCTCACAACAAACAGAAATATACATACAATATAAGGTGGAGTATCACTCTTATTCGAATGTGGGAACAATTTGAT